TTCCTGACCTTAGGTGATTCACCCACCTCAGCCTCTCAAAGTGCTAGGATTACAGGAGTGAGCCACCGCACCTGGCCATCATTTAAAAATATATAATTTAAACTCAACGTCTTATCAATATTTACAAACTAACGAATAGCATGTGATTTTACATTTAAGTACTTAAAATTATACATTATTATGCACAGACATTTGTCTATTTCATTAACATCCTGATATATTATGATGTCAAAAAAATGAAAGTGAAAATCTGAAGAGCTCATTTAGCAAACGGGTATGCTAGAATATCTGGAGTCACTCACTTGCGGTACTTAGTCTTATATCCACTACTCCACTCTGTGGAAGTGATGACTATATGTTCACTCACACGTAGTTCATTCAGCCTAGCATACAGTCTGTCCTCAGTCAACGTGTGTTGAGTGTTGCTGTCACTTCAGAGATAAAGAAATACAGACTCCAATGAGTTAGGAGACTTGGCCAAAGCACACAGTGAATAATAAGCAGAGTCGGTTCTGTGACAGTTTCCTGACCTCCAGGCCAGAGTATTAAGCCACTACATCCAGCTAGAGTGCAAGGAATCATTTCCTCCTACCCCGCTGGGAAGATAGCCTCATCACAGGGCAAAGACTTGACAAAGCTTTGGCTTGTAAGCCATGGATGATATCTAAAGACATGTGTTATTGCTCAGGACAACCTCGTGCATATGTTTGGCCTTTTGCTAATTCATTATCAGTTCATGATAGCTGGCAAGCAAAACTGGCAATATGTGATCACTTTTTTTCCATTTCAAACATTATCTCTTTCTGTCTCACATTCTTTTCAACACTTGATAGCAGCAGCCCACATTGCTGATGCACCACAGATGAAGGGCACTTCCCCCTTCCCCACCTGTGGGGAGATGCCACTGTGTAGAGCCGAAGACCACCCCAGGAAGTCTTTGGAGGGGACAAGCTCAGCAGAAACTTTTTCAGATGTGTGGTAATGTAAGAACTACTAGGAAAAGGTTTTGGCAGAACAGGCATAGCAATGAGGTTATTAATGCTGCAAGCTGGCATACGTTTTAATCAATGACATTGAATTACAATGACAAGCAATTAGTCACAATTAGAGAAAGTGTATTTTTTTAAATCTCAATTTAATTACGATATTGGAGGTATATTCTCACAAGTTAAAGAATGTGGTCTCCAAATATCATTTTAAGAATTGTACTTTAAAGAAATGCTAGCATTCTCTTAATTAAGAAATGCATGAAATATGTGTGTGGGTGGGGGAGAGGCTTGGGAGTATAGTGTGTGTGTGTGTGTGTGTGTGTGTGTGTGTGTGTGTGTGTGGTGTGTGATTTAAATCTTTCTCACTCTGGGCAAGGCAACTTTCAAAGGCTGGGCCGCCTCTGGGTAGAATCGTGACATAATCTTAAATTGCTTTCTGCCTTGCCCCATCCCCACCATTCAACAAAAGTCCTTGTAGACTTCCCATCAGCTCCCTTCTTCCTTTCCATTCCCTCTCCAGGCTCCACGCCAGCCCTCAGAGTTGTCCACTATAAAGCATTCCTCCTGGGGCCTCAGCTGGAAACGGCATATCTCCTTTGAAGTGATTGGGTCCCAGAATGTTAGGATCAGAAAAGACTTGAGGTTGGGCGTGGTGGCTCACGCCTGTAATCCCAGCACTTGGGAGGCTGAAGTGGGTGGATTACCTGAGGTCAGGAGTTCAAGACCAGCCTGGTCAACCTGGTGAAACCCTGTCTCTACTAAAAATACAAAATTAGCCAGGCATGGTGGCCGGCACCTGTAATCCCAGCTACTTGAAAGGCTGAGGCAGGAGAATCACTTGAATCCGGGAGGCGGAGGTTGCAGTGAGCTGTGATTGCACCATTGCACTCCAGCCTTGGTGACAGAGTGAGACTCAATCTCAAAATAAAAACAAACAATAAAAGACTTGGGTAGATCTCCGGGTGCAAACCCTTCTTGTGTTCAAAGTAAAGGTCCCAAGGACCAAAGGCCTCGATCTTCTGGGGTGACCTGTCAGGGAAGACTCTGAGAAGCATGTCTGGGTGTCTCTAATGCTTTCCCAGGACCCAGAAGAGCAACCCATGTGGACAACGCTGATAAAAGGAATCAGTCCTTGAGGTCCTGGCACCATTCCACTCTTTGCTTTGCCTCTCTCCTCCAGACTGGCCCCTAGTGCCTCTTCAAATCCACCCCTCTGAATGGGCCAGGGTGGGCCTACTCACTGAGACATGGCTGTGCCAGAAGAGGATTCCAGATTCAGACTGACGCAGGGGTGGGTGAATACTCTGACTTGGAGACAGTTGCCTGGGCTTGAGTCCTCACTGTCAAGAACAAATCCACATTGTCATGAACACTTACTGGGCTGGGCATGGTGGCTCACGCCTGTAATCCTAGCACTTTGGGATGCCAAGACTGGAAGATTGCTTGAGGTCAGTAGTTTGAGACCAGCCTGGGGAACACAGGGAGAACCAGTCTCTACAAAAAATAAAATTAGCTGGATGTGGTGGTGCACGCCTCTGGTCCAGGCCACTCAGGAGGCTAAGGCAGGAGGATTGCTTAAGTCCAGGAGTTTGAGGCTGCAGAGAGTTTTGATTGTGCCACTGCACTTCAGCCTGGGCAACAGGAAAGACCCTGCCTCTAAAAAAAAAATTGTTTTTATAAAGGACCTTTACTACAGCCCCATTAATTGTCAACCTATGAGTTACTGGAAGCTTACTGTTTTAGGGAGACCAAAGGCTAAAAAGACAGTTGTTAATTCTCAGCACAATGTAGAATTTGTTGGCATACATGTCATTCTTTTCTTCCCTGATTTATATACATCTATCATTCATCACCTGAACCCTTCAGTGGAGTCTCCTTGTTCCTAAGATAAAATTCCAGCCCTCTAAAGGCCCTCAAGATGGGACCTTGCTGACCTCTCCGGCCTCATCTTGCACCACTGACCCCTCTTTCCGTGTGCTTCAGCCCTCTTGTCTTCCTCCTACGGGAGGCTTTTCCTCTTCCCTTAGTCCTAGCCAAGGCCCCTATCCTCATCCCAGTTGCACATTCCTTAGCAACTTGACAACTTCTGAAGGATTTATACAATGGTAATTAAGCAATTAGTTGAATAACTAGTTGAGTATTCACTCTATATTCCTGAATGACCACTCCCAGAGGGCAGGGATCTTCTCTGTCTTGTTGCCCAAGAGCTTACAGTTGTGCCATGATTATCTAATGGGTACATAGTATTGGTTGAGCCAGGTGCAGTGGCTCATACTTGTAATCCCAGCACTTTGGGAGGCTGAGGTGCGTGGATCACAAGGTCAGGTGTTTAAGACCAGCCTGGCCAATATGGCGAAACCCTGTCTCTACTAAATATACCAAAATTAACCAGGTGTGGTGGTGCACACCTATAGTCCCAGCTGCTGAGGAGCCTGAAGCAGAAGAATTGCTTGAGTCCAGGAGGCAGAGGTTGCAGTGAACCGAGATCGCAACACTGCACTCCAGCCTGGGCAACAGAGTGAGACTCTGTCTCAAACAAAAGAAAAAGAAAAAGAAGAAAGAAAGAAAGAAGGAAGGAAGGAAAGAGAAAGAAAAAAGAAAGAAAGAAAAATATTGGTTGAATGAAGAATGGGGATCATGGTGGGATGGAATGTCTGGCAACCACACTGAATACAGGGGTGAGGTCTGGCCCAGCTGACTAGCGATGGGAGCTGGAGGGACGCATCCTAAGTGGCTAGTGAAGGCAGCCAGCGGAGGCTGCCAGGCCAACCAGGAGAGGGAGACTTGGCCTGGAGCATCTCATGAAGAGACCTCAGATAGCCCTGCTGCCTGGGCCCCTCCCGGGATGAGCACAGAGAGGACTCTGGAATTTGGCTTTCTGGCTGTATGTTTTTCTGAGCAACACAAGATTGGGATGAAAACCAGTTTAGGAGGAAACACAACATTCTTTTATTCCTTGAAGTTCTGGGAAATCCTCATGGCGAGCAAGACAAATTGGAGTGGCCAAACTCATTCTCCACACCACACAGCCCAGAAGGGACCCTGGTCACTCATGGGCATTAGGGTATTTGTGGCTCCAGTTGAAAGAACTTTGCTGGCTTTGGAGTCAGAAAAACAGGTTCAAATCTCTATTTTTCCACTTGTTAGCTGTGTGAACTCCGGCGAATGAGGTAATCTCTCCTTGCGCTTTAATATGCTCTCTTACAAAATGGGTATAATTACTAGGTTAATACAGGAATTAACAGATCATAAAGTGGCTGACCCAGAGGAGGCACACTATATGTCACTGTATGTAAACAATCGTTAAAATTATTGATGGTTTTTTACTGTGTTAGCTCTTGGAGGGACTTCGGCTTTGATTCCTGTAACTTTTGACTCTTCTTTTACTGGGGGTTAAGTGAAAACCCACTGTGAACAGGTGTTATAGCTGCTAGAAAGTTTGATTTCTCAGATAATAGAAAGAAATCTTCCTTTTAAAAGCCTTTTATTCCTATTCAATGCAATTGCAGCTCTGATTCAGAAACTTTATGGTTAGGATTACCTCTAACAATTAGTGCTCTCTCCAGCTAGTGGGAAGGGAGATCACCTCCACTCTGCTGTCCCAGAGGTCACAGGAAATGCTGCACTGAGGTGTTGAGCCAATTACTAGGTACTGTTAGGAAGAAAACACAAAGAGGTGCACATTCCTGAGCGATGAGTGTGGGCGTTTTGTTTATCCATTCCTTATAAGGAATGAGTTATCCTTGGTTCTGCAGAAGGTCGCTGTTATTTCTCTCTCCTCATGTAGCTGTAATCAGCTTTTTGTCCTCAGAGGGGTGGAACCATGATTAAACACGGTAAATATGCCAGCACTTACCATACCCAGCTATGAGGATGTTGACATACCCTTGCAACACAGCTGAGGTTCTTGTCTGATCCTGCTGATCCTACTGACTCTCAGAAGACAAGTCTCCCTTGAACCCCAGAGGCAAGGCAGCCTGGGGGCCAGCTACAAACGTTGGTCTGGTAGGAAAAACTGCTGCTGTTTTTTACCCTGCCACAGGCCATTCATTCTTTTCTTCCCTTTCCCTTCACTGACAGCCCTTGAGCACTGTAGTGTCGAGCAGGTGGTCCTGGAAGGGGCAGGGGACCTAGAAAGTGAGGGGTGATGCCTTTCCTCCTCTCAGAAGGATCAGTTCTTCACACTCAAAGGAGCATGTAGATTTCAAGGCCACCCCTTGATCTGTAAAGCTCAAGCGTCACCTCTGCGCTGAAGCTCCTGTCCTGTCCACCTCCTGTCCTTGGGACTCCCACTGCACCATTCACACTCCATTCGTAGTCTGATGCTTGCTTTTCTATGGTCTTTTGTGGTTTGTGATGTTTTCCTGGGTGCTGGTCTGGTTTCCTCACCAAGACCACAGGCTTCTCAAAGGTAGGTACTGTGGCTTCCACTTCATGTGTGACCCTGCAGGGCTCAGCCCAAGTGCAAAAGTGCAGAGCATTAAAGGGGTGCTCGGTGAAAGCTGGTTGGTGGATTGATGGAAAGTGGATTAGGTTTGTTTGTTTTTTCTGGTTGTTTTGTTTGTTTGTTTTGAAGACAGTCTTGCTCTGACACCCAGGCCAGAGTGCAGTGGTGCGATCTTGGCTCACTGCAACCTCCACCTCCCCGTTGAAGCAATTCTCCTGCCTCAACCTCCTGAATAGCTGGGATTACAGGTGCATGCCACCATGGCCAGCTAATTTTTGTATTTTTTTGTTTTTTTTTGAGACAGAGTTTCGCTCTTGTTACCCAGGCTGGAGTGCAATGGCGCGATCTCGGCTCACGGCAACCTCCGCCTCCTGGGTTCAGGCAATTCTCCTGCCTCAGCCTCCTGAGTAGCTGGGATTACAGGCACGCACCACCGTGCCCAGCTAATTTTTTGTGTATTTTTTAGTAGAGACGGGGTTTCACCATGTTGACCAGGATGGTCTCGATCTCTTGACTTTGTGATCTACCCGCCTCAGCCTCCCAAAGTGCTGGGATTACAGGCTTGAGCCACCGCACCTGGCCAATTTTTGTATTTTTAATAGAGATGGGGTTTTGCCATGTTGGCCAGGCTAGTCTTGAACTCTTGCCCTTATGTGATCTGCCCTCCTCAGCCTCCCAAAGTGCTGGGATTACAGGCATGAGGCACTGCACTCCGCTGGGTTAGGTTATATAAGACCAAAAAGTCTGGATGATCACCTCCCTCCTGTAGTCTGTTAAGAACAAGCCCTCTGGAATAGTATTCAATCATAAAAAAGAATGAAATAAAATTTTTTTAAAAAAAGAATGAAATCCTATAATTCCCAGCAACATGGATGAAGCTACAGAATGTTATGAAATAAGGCAGGACCAGAAAGTTGAACACCACATGTTCTTATTCATGTGTGAAAGCTTAAAAAGCTGATCTCAAAGAAGTAAAAAGTAGAACAGAGTATAATAAAGGCTGGGAAAGGTAGGGGGAAAGGAGGGATAGGGAGAGATTTGTTGAAAGGTACAAAATTATAGCTAGCTAGGAGGACTAAGTTTTGGTGTTCAATACCACTGCAGGATGACTTAGTTAACAGTACACATTATATAGCTTCAAATAGCTAGAAGGAGGATATTGAATGTTCCCAACACAAAGAAATGATAAATGTGCGAGATGTGGACATGCTGATTACCCTGATCTGATCACCATTTATTATATGTATAGAAGCATCATCATATACTCGTGAATATGTACAATTGTTATTTGTGAATTAAAAAATAAAATAAAAAACCAACCAAACCAAACAAAACCAGAAGAGTGAGCCGGAGGTGGAGAGCTGGTCTACAGGCGCCCGTGTCTCTTCCACCCAGCGCTTGCTCCTCATCGTCTATAGAGCCGACCAGACACAAGAATTCCACGCTGGACTTTTCTTGCAGATGACCATTTAAATAATCCACTTTCCAGGTCCTCCTCCAGGCTCGTGGGAATCCATCATTATACAGGTACTTCCTGTTTTTAAAAATTTTTAATGATATAAGAAAATGCTCAGAATATAATATTAGGTGAGAAAGGCAACACAATATGTATTCTCAACCACAAAATTATATGTGTGTGACTGTATATAAGTATGTGTGCATGTGTGTGTGCATGCTATGAAATAAAGCATATCAAAATGTTAACAGGGATTCTTTCTGAGTGTTGAGAATACAGACAATTTTTGTTTTCTTTTTTATGGATTTCTGTGTTTTCCAAAACATCTACTATCATAGTTTTCCCCCTGATAAGGAACAAAACCTTATGTGAAAAGAGAAAAGCATGTTTAGAAAAGTTCCTTACTTAATAACTGCTAGCAAGAAACAGAATGATTACTGTATCCAGGAGGCTTACACAGGTGCCTCGTGTGGTCTTCACGGCAGCACTAGGGGGTGGGCATTAGTACTTCTGTTTTCTAGCTCCCTAAGAGTTCCAAGCTCAGGGAGGTTAAGTATGTTGTCCAAAGTCATACACTTTTGTGTGCAGGCCAGGATTTGATGCCACACCTGTCTAATCAGAGGTGGGACTTACAGACGATCTTGGGGACAGCTTGCTCCACATTTCCTTGCCAAGTGTAAAGTTGGCTTAGCAGACTTCATCCCAGGAAAGGTGCGAGCAGCAAATGAGAGCACATAGGTTCACTTGGTGTGTTTATGATGCTTTTAAACTGTGACATGTTGGATTTCAGCACCCAGACAAGGACCCTTAAAGGACCCCTCTAGAGTCCCACCTCATCTTAATGAGAAGCTGGTCTCGGGTTGAAGAAAATCTTTTATTTATTGGAAGTCGCCTGTACTAAAATGAGTTCTCTGTGTGGGTGGAAATTTGTTTGGTTAGAAATTGAATTCTTGATTTGCATCCAATCTTTTCTAATAATCCATTTAAGGAAAGGGAAATGCTCCCACACGGGATGGGTTTATAGAGTCTTGAGAAACCTGTCACTCTTTGAGTTTATCTAACAAATGGGCCTGTCCCTGACTCAGCCTGCTCAAGTCAGGAGGCTTGCGGGAATGCGGCGAGCTGCCCAAACAGATAGGAAACCTCTTATTTCATCACCAAAACATCTTTTCGGTAAGGCAGCATCCAGAATGGACCAATCCCTTGTCAACACAGAGCACTTTCCATCATTTCCTGCTTCTTAAGCCCAGCCAGACACAGGAAAGATCTGCAAGAAGGTGCACACCCTACTTTGCCTGGTGTCCAGGAAGGTCATGGACGTCAGGTTTGCAGTACACCGTGGGGAGAAGAGCTATAAACGACATAGGCATCACTTAACTTTGGACGAATCACTTCACCTCTCTAGGCCTCAGTTCCCTCTTCTGTAAAACAAAGTGGTGAAACTGGGCATTTTTCAAGTTTCTTTCCAGCTCTAAAGGGCTATTCCCCAAGCTTCCCTAAATAACCTGCTCCTGCTTGGATTCAATAGAACATTGGCGATTCTTGCATCTATGTTCATCGTGGATATTGGCCTGAAGTTTTCTTTTTTTGCTGAATCTCTGCCAGGTTTTGGTATCAGGATGATGTTGGCCTCTTTCTCTTACCCTCCTGGAGTAAAGAGATACCCATGAGGATGCCTGATCCAATTCTCTGAGGCCCTCCTCGTCCACACTTGGTTATGTGTGAGTAATAGAAAGCATCAGACCTATCAGGGTGGTTGGTCTTTGCTGCCTATTAACTGTGTGTGACCTTAGAAAATCTTTGCACCTCTGCTCCTTGATTAGTAGAAGTGAGCAATTGCTCCTGCCTGGCAGAGTCAGGGGGAGGTTAGAGTTGATGTAGGTAATGTGATTAGAAGACTCTCTGGCTCATCATAAGCATGCTTGTCATTGGCTCCTTTCCTTCCTTCTTGCTGGCTGAGTCATGTTGGGCTGTATGTGTTAGGAGGAGGGAAGTCCAGGAGCTGCTCCAGAGTTGTTATCAGTTAGGCTGTTGTAGGCCAAGCTGCTGTAACAAAGAGACCCAAAAATGCACTGGCCCAAACATGTTCTTTTTTTTTTTTTTTTTTTTTAAGAGAGATGGAGGTCTTGCCACATTTTTCAGGCTGGCCTCAAATTCCTGGGTTCCAGTCATTTTCCCAACCAAGTGCAGTGGGTCATACCTGTAATCCCAGCCCTTTTGGAAGCCAGGGCAGGAGGATCACTTGACCCCAGGTGTTTGAGAACAGCCTGGGCAACACAGTGAGACCCCATCTCTACAACAACAACAAAAATTTTTTTTAGAATCACTAGATGATTTTTTTAGAATCACTAGAATCACCTTAGATGACTAAGGTGATTGCTTAGTCATCACCACATTGCATATTTTCAGCTTAATGATTATGTAATTTCTTCATATCTTCCAACAAATGGAAGATAAAAATGTATCTTTGGGGATGTATTCATGTGAAAATTAATTCTTATGAAAGTCCTTGACTTACCACAAAAATTCAAGAAATGCACTTCTTATACATAGACACAGGGAAATATAGATCTTCCTGTTATGTGCAAATTAGAAGCCCTTGGGCAGAAGAACTAAGCGTGAACCCCAGTGGAGTGAATATTTGTATTTGTATTACCGTAAATTTTATAGAATCAAATTTCTTAGTGGGAAACCTTACTGCAGTCATCGGTTTTGGTAACTGCTCCTGATTTAATAGTTACAGCTAGCAATCCCAAATAGCAATGTAATTCAGTCATCTACCTTGATGGGTTGTTTTTTTTTTTTGAGAGGGAGTCTTGCTCTGTCACCCAGGCTGGAGTTCAGTGGCGCATCTTGGCTCACTGCAACCTCTGCCTCCCAGGTTCAAGTAATTCTGCTGCCTCAGCCTCCAGAGTAGCTGGAATTACAGGTGTGCACCACCATGCCAGCTAATTTTTGTATTTTTAGTAGAGGGTTTCACTATGTTTGTCAGGCTGATCTTGAACTCCTGACCTTGTGATACTCCTGCCTTGGCCTCCCAAAGTGCTGGGATTACAGATGTGAGTGACTGTGCCCAGCCCTACCTCGAGGTTTATTTCACAACTGTGCACTGAAGAAAAACCACACTGCTCCAGTAAGTGGGTCAGTGCGAGCTCTGCTGAGATATTTTATAGCTGGCATGGGGGAGTATATTTTGTTTCAACTGCTTTGCGTGTTTTCACACTAATATTCTTATAGCCATTCTCTGATAGTCCAACTCCAGGTTTTTTCTATGGAGTATCTCTGCCCTGCCCACTACTACTTCTTTAGCCCATTTCCATAGTAGGTGAGATACCGTGTATCCTTTTTCAGCACTGTGTAGTTAATACGTATGCGGCAAACCACCTTTGGCTTTGGCTACTGGTTAAAGCCTAGGTCTTTACACTTATCCAGCCTCATAAATGGAGATTCAGCCTCACTCAGTTGCACAGGTTGTGCACTGCATTACTCCAGGGAACGCATGTACATGGACCACGGTGGTGTTTCTAAAGCTATGTTGGTACAATCTCCCTGACACTCCAAGAATGCCCCATTCTCAAAAACTGCCTGTCAATTTCTCAGCAAATGCAAGCTTCACTGAGAGGCACTGGCAAGAGCCATAAAACATGCCTGTTCCTGGGTACTCCAGGCCTGCTTCTGGGAATCTAAATCTGTTCCTGCTATTCTAGGTCTGTTCCTGGATCCACTCAAAAGAAAGCCGCATCTCAGCACCACGTTGTTGTGTCCCTGCTTTTACATTAATTATACTCTGGTATAAGGCATCATCCATTCTGGAAATGTAATAAGAAGCACTCTGCTCTTTGTTCCTGCAGCTTTCTAGTGTTCTGAACTGAGGACTGCTCACAATATTACAACGTCTTCAGAAAGGCTCATAGGAGAACTTTCCTTCCGGTCTCAGTATCAGGAAGAATTATGTGTTTTTCCTGAACAGATGGTTTGATTGGATTTTATTGATGGATACTGTGATGCACATAACTGAAGCTGCTTTTGTGTGTGTGCTTTCTGTTAGAAAGTGGAGTGGCAGGTTTGTGGCTCAACACTAAGCAATAGAAAGACCCCAAAGCGTGTGCTTCGTGGCCTTGCCTCACTCTTCTTCATCTGCACTCATTAAGCAACACGTAGTTACTGAGTACCTGCAACCTGCCAAACACTGTTTTAGATACTACCCTGAAAATACGTTTTAAATAGAGCAGAGGTCTGAGAAGGTGCCTTCTGAGCTCAGCTGGAGGGAGGAGAGGCGTGTGCTGTCTAGATTCCAAGGGGGAAAAAAAATTCCAGAAATAGAAAATGGCGAGTTCAAAATCCTGAGACAGGAGTGTGCCCAGCAGGTTGAACAAACGGCAAGGAGGCTGGCGTGGCTGGAGTGAAGGGTGAGGCAGTGACAGTGTCCGAAATGTAACCGGAAGCAAGCTCCTGTCGAGACTCAGAGGCCTTGGCTGTACTTGGACCTTTACACTGCATAAGATGAGAAGCCATTCAAGGGTTTGGAGAGGAGAAGTGGCATAACTTACAAAGGTCACTCTAGCTAATCAGCTGAGAGCAGACATAGGAGACAGAGGTAGAAGCAGGGAGACCCCCCAGGGGGACCACTGCAGGAACTCGGAGGGGATGGTGTCCTGAGTCAGCACGGTAGTGGGTGGGAAGAGGCCACATTCTGGATAATAGGATTTGCTGACAGATACAGCATGGGGCACGAAGGACAGGAGGGGGCCAAGGAGGACCCTGAGAAATTGGAAGGTTAGAGTGTCTTTAACTACCTGCTCTCCCATGAAGGGAATCTGGGGCAGTAGATTCAAACACACTCAAAGTGACGGGCCTGTTAGACCCCAAGTGGAGATGAGTGAGCTTGGGTTTGAGGCAGACATCTGGCTGAATAGAAACTACTGGTATTTGGAGCACGTGACAAAATAAAGGGTACTTGGGGGTAGCGTGATGGTGGAAAAGAGGCGCTCTCAGGGCGGAGCCCAGGGACTATGCAAAGCTAAGACTTCTTTTAAGTATCCTACCCTCTTTTTTAAAAAACCTAATTTCCTAGGTTGGTATTTTACAAACTTTATTCTACTTTATTCAGTTCTATAAACCCCCTTAAATTCTTTCCAGAACAAGCCAAATGTATGTGAAAGCAGTGCAGTAATAGTAATATCAGTTCGTCCCCTTGAGCAATATTTGTTAAGTGCCAGTTATGTATCCAGCATTAGGAGCTGGGATAACCAGATGGAGTGCCTCCCCTGTGAAACAGACTATATTTGAGGGGAATGACTAATACTTGACATGTAGATAAACACGTAATTAGGATAACATCAGATCCTAACAGGTGCGACATCAGATTATAACAGAAAATAGAATAGATAAAGGGGTAGAGAGTAACTCGGGATGGGGAGTGGTGGCTTCGCTGAGAATATGCTACTTGAACTGAAATCTAGGTGATGAGACGGAGCCAGGCAATGTTCTAGCAAAAAGCATTCCAGGATGGGGGCAGCAGCCAGTACAAAGGCCTGGGGTGGGAATGAGCTTGGCATGCTGGGATGAGTACACAGGCTGGCTGGAGTTGCTGGAACACAGTAAAGGGGAGCCATGGAGGAGGCAAGGCCCGGGAGAGGGGAAGGGTCCAGGTCACATTGGGCCTTGACAGCATGGCAAGAATATTGGCTTGTAGTTCAAGTGCACTGGGCAGCCACTGCAGACTTCCCAGCAGGGGAGAGACGTGATGTAACTTGTCCTGACTGCTGAGTATAGAGCCCTGAAAAGAAGCAGAGAGACTGGCATGGAGGTGGTACGCTGGATGAAGAACCAGATGGCAGGGCTGGACTGGAATGCCCTGTGGCAAGTCAGAGAGAGGCTCAAGTGTATATTCAAGGCTTTGCTCAGGGATTGAAAGAAGAAAGGGAGAAGTCAAAGCCGAATTTTAGCTTCAGCAAATGGATGGGTGTGGATGCTGTTTCCTAGATGGGGCAAACTGGAAGAGGGGCAGGTTTCCTGGAGAAACAAGAGTTCTGCTTCAACTACATTAGCCTTCAGATGCCTATTAGTCACTCTGCAGCTCTGCATGTTATCTACAAAGAAAGCCACACATTCACTCAGTTAATATTTGTTGAATGAGTGAGCGAATGCCAGTCCTTGAGAGATGGGGAAGGTCACAGTTATAGATTGGCAATTCAGAATGACGCCAATGCTGGAGGAAGCAGTTTCACTGATGTTATCTTGATCAGTCATCTTAGCCACCTGCAGAGGCGTTGGTTGGGAAGTATTTTCCTTATTCTATAGGTGAGGTGTCTGAGGCTCAAGAGACTGCATGACTGCCCATTGTACCCACCCCCAGGGGCAGATGCAGTTCCTGTGTCTTCTCATCCCAGGCTAGTGCCCTTCCCACCATCCAACATCGAGATCTTGTTAGGGTGCTTCCTGTCGCCTGGGAGAGCTACACTGGAAGGTGCCCATGTGATGTGGAGCCAACTCTGGCCACACAGAAGCTGTGAGACCAGTTCCAGCCTGAAAGTGGCCTGGGCTGGCAGTAAACAACCTGAAGCTGGCTGAGACTTCCTAACAGGCCTGACCAGGTTCTGTGACAAAAGCAATGACACCCACAAATAAGGCTACCCCACCTTGCCCTGGTGAGTCAGGAGCACCATGGGGGAAGGCTGGTCCAGGCTTTGGAATGGAGCTCAGGCCAGGTTTCTCCTTC